AAAAAAAGACCAACAAACAAAAAAACCCCTGCTCTGAGCCTCAGGCACCTTCATTTCCAGAGTCCCCAGATCTGTGACTTCGCTCTGCCCTCCCCTCTGTGCAGCACCCAAAGGCTGATTTGGCTGAGTCCAGAGGGTCACATCCTACACGGATTTGGACAAGTGTTTATTAGTGATAGGGCTKAATGGGATGCAACACAAGACAGGCATGAAATGTAATGAAACAACCCATTTTCTGAACAGCAGCGACTGCTCCCCTGGAAAGGCTCCAAAGGAAAAGAAAACAGCTGCAGAAGCAGCCAAGGCAGATGGCCACCAGGAGCTTTCTCCACCACAATGCTTTCAGTCCATCCCTTTACTAGACATGAAAATGCTGCTGGCAAAAATAGGACTGCTCAGTGGGACATTCCTGACTTCCTGATTTACAGTTCATCTCCCATTTGCAGCCTCAGATTTTATCACATCTATTCACTGACAGCCACCGGATACAACAGCACAGCCAAATGCACCCTGAACCCACGGAATAATCCATCTAGTTTTAAAGTTTGAAATATTCTCATGGAAGACACTGAAAAAKATAAATCTATATGCCACTTCACACAGCATTAAAAATGTCACAGGCTRAAGCTTCATTTTTAATAAAAATTAATTCTTCCATCAAAGAAAGGGTGGRGGAGAAGGCCTAGCAGCTCATTAAAGTTGCACTACAAAGACAACGTAATCTTTAACAGCATCTTTTTCTCTGCTGTACTGTTTTATGAGCTCCTTATAGAATTCATAAGGTTAAAAAATCTGCCATTTGGCAAAAAGAACATTCAGTTAGATGTATTTTAATGAGCGATCCTAACTATCCGAAGGGTTATGTGGACACAGCCTAAAGACACTACAGGTAGTTCCAAAAATCGACCTTACAATATTGTTAATAGTAGCTGGATGCTGCTGGATGAGCATTTTTGGAGAGTGAACACCACACAAACACCACTGKTGGGGAAGTTGAAAGGCAGCTGGGAGCAGCAAGGCTCACACACCTCTAATTGCACAAAACCCTGTGCCAATGCATGGATCCAGTGCATCACCACGAGTCCATCCTGCTTTCAATCCCTCCAGGATTTCACCCTTTGTACCCCCAGCTGAGCCCTTCACAAATGKGCAGT